GTGTATGCATGCATGCGTGAATGTGTGTGTGTGTGAGTGAGGGCCAGTGTGTATGCATGCATGCGTGAGTGTGTGTGTGTGAGTGAGGGCCAGTGGGTATGCGTGCATGCGTGAGTGAGGGCCAGTGTGTGTGCATGCATGCGTGAGTGTGTGTGTGTGAGTGAGGGCTAGTGTGTGTGCCTGCATGCATGACTGTGTGTGAGGGCCAGTGTGTGTGCATGCATGCGTGAGTGTGTGAGTGAGGGCCAGTGTGTATGTATGCATGCGTGAGTGTGTGTGTGTGAGTGAGGGCGTGTGTATGCGTGCATGCGTGAGTGAGGGCCAGTGTGTATGCATGCATGCGTGAGTGTGTGTGTGTGAGTGAGGGCCAGTGTGTGTGTGTGCATGCGTGTGTGTGTGTGAGTGAGGGCCAGTGTGTGTGTGTGCATGCGTGTGTGTGTGTGAGGGCCAGTGTGTGTGCATGCATGCACGAGTGTGTGTGAGGGCCAGTGTGTGTGCATGCATGCGTGAGTGTGTGAGTGAGGGCCAGTGTGTATGTATGCATGCGTGAGTGTGTGTGTGAGTGAGGGCCAGTGTGTATGCATGCATGCATGAGTGAGGGCCAGTGTGTATGCATGCATGTGTGAGTGTGTGTGTGTGAGTGAGGGCCAGCGTGTGTGTGTGCATGCGTGAGTGTGTGTGTGTGAGTGAGGGCCAGTGTGTGTGCATGCATGCGTGAGTGTGTGTAAGGGCCAGTGTGTATGCATGCATGCATGAGTGTGTGAGGGCCAGTGTGTATGTATGCATGTGTGAGTGTGTGTGTGAGTGAGGGCCAGTGTGTATGCATGCATGCGTGAGTGAGTGAGGGCCAGTGTGTGTGCATGCATGCGTGAGTGTGTGTAAGGGCCAGTGTGTATGCATGCATGCGTGAGTGTGTGTGTGTGAGTGAGGGTCAGTGTGTGTGCATGCACGCGTGAGTGTGTGTAAGGGCCAGTGTGTATGCATGCATGTGTGTGTGTGTGTGAGTGAGGGCCAGTGTGTGTGCGTGCATGCGTGAGTGTGTGTAAGGGCCAGTGTGTGTGCACACATGGGTATGCACACGCATGTGTGTTTGTGGGTGAGCACAAGCATGCCTGCAATGTGTGAATTCACGCACATGTGTGCATGCGGAGCCTGACTTGTGGCCACACAGCACAGCAATGGTGTCTGGCTCAGTAGGTACAACAACCTCATCAAAGCCAACGGCATCTAAAAGAGGCTGCCTCGCCGGACAGGGGAGGAGGCAAGTTCTTTCGGGAGGCCTGGCGGGCTCAGGGCAGCCCACGTGCATGGATGGAAACCAGGCCACGGTCTGCGGGAGCCTCACTGCCAAGTGCATGGGTGCCTTGCTAGCCAAGTGCAAGCAAGGCCATAATTCAGGGATACACGGCTCCCCCCTCGAGGTCCCCACACCCTATGCCACGTGTAACACACATTCTACACAAACAGACCCTGCGATCTCAGCCACACATGAGCACAACACCCTGGGCATGGCAGCAGGCACAGTGTGGGGCAGGGGAGTGGCCAATGCCACCAACAGCAGTGCCAGCCTGGCCTGAGATGCTGATACCCTGGCGCGTGGGGGTATGGGTGGGGTTTATGCACAGATTCCTCAAGGCCAAGGTAAGGCTGAGCAAGACATGTACCAGAAAGAGAAGGAGGCCATTTTCCACTGCCCCAAGGAGGGGCCGCCCAGATCCACCCACGGGATCCCCAGTCTTCCTGACTCTCCTTCCTGCTGAAGCCATGATAGTTTGCCAAAAGTCCCGTGAATCAGTTCTGTACTGACATCCCTCCGAGGCCCCACCACTTCATCAAACCTTTTGCAGGAGAAGGTGAGCAGGTGGTGGGTGAGTGATGGCTGGGTACAGGCCACCACAGGTGTGTGGTGATGGACAAGTGGGTGGACAATGGACCAACCCTTCCCTGCCCAATGCTGCTGGGGGACTCGCCAGCCCACCCCCACCTCCCCCCACCCCGAGTCTTGTCCATGCAGGGCTCCCAGGCCTCACTTGGTCCTGGCACCAGGACAGCATCTCTGGACAGCTCTGCCTGGGCACTGATGCAGCCGCCCTGCCCCCCCCCCCGCCCTGGGGCCCCCAGGACTGGCTACTCGGAAGCCCCTCCCATTGACCTCTTGGCCTCAGCCTGCTGAACACCTTGTCCTCTCTAGCCTAACATCCCAGGAGAAGCCTCTGCACAAACATCATTCCTGGGAAGCTCTGCATCCCCACAGCCCCCGAGTCTCCACACACCCTTCCACACTGACCCCGATCCCTGGGAGCCACTGGGGACATCCAGCCCCAGCAGGGTGTGCAGTGTGTGCTTTGGCCTGGGGCTTTCTTGCCCCAGGTCCCATGTCCTCACCCCTTCCTCCCCTGACACAGCCCTTCCCCATCTACTGACCTGCCTGTCGCTCACCAGGACATCTTCCGACCCTGGCCCTGGCTGCCCAGTGTGACGACCTTATCCATGGTGAGAACGGAGAAACACTTTGCTAAACCATTCACTCACCAACACGCCCCTGGAGCCCCTCACCTCCCAAGACCACCCATCTGAACTATGACTTGTGTCCCCTAATAAGGCAAGTTGAAGTCCCGGACAATCATGGTGGCTCACGCCTGTAATCCCAGCACTTTGGGAGGCCAAGGCAGGTGGATCACCTGAGGTCAGGAGTTCAAGACCAGCCTGGCCAATGTGGTGAAACCCCATCCCTACTAAAAGTACAGAAATTAGCTGGGCATGGTGGCGGGTGCCTGTAGTCCCAGTTTCTGAGGCTGAGGCAGGAGAATCACTTGAAGCTGGGAACAGAGGTTGCAGTGAGCCAAAATTGCACCACTGCACTCCAGCCTGGGCGACAAGAGCAAGACTCCATCTCAAAAATAAAAAAAGATCTGTGAACATGGCTTTATTTGGACATAGGGTCGCTGCAGATGATGAAAGTAAGATGTCCTTAGAGCGGCACCCCATCCAATGTGACTATTGTCTTTTAAGAGGGGACATTTGGCTGCAGAGACAGACATGCACGCAGGGAGAACACCATGGGGTGAGGAAGGCAGAGTGGCCAGCAGGCCCCCGGAAGCCGGGGCGAGGTCTGCACCAGGGTCAGAGCCCTGCAGCCCCTCAGTCGAGGCCTTCCACCCTCCAGGACCACGGCCAGTTCACTTCCGCTGCCCCAGCCACGGGAGCATTCAGAGGAAGAACCCCGGAAACTAGATTCTGCCGCAGCCTGAGCAGCAAGACGGGGTGGGAGACTGAGGCATCGCCAGGACCCAGGCAGCCCCAGCCTCTCGCGCAAGGTCCTGCAGCACCATCGCTTACGTGTTCGTGGGTTTATTTTGAGAGCAGCTGAACCAAAACCAAACAAGAGGAAGAAGGAAAAGAATGAAAACAGCAGCCTGACTACACTTCGGAACGCAGGCGTGAAAGCACCAGAAGAGAGCTGGGATGCCTCTGCCAGCAGGACACCAAACTCTGCA